GTTTTCTTCAGTATCCATTCAAGCCGTCTCCAGCCATTATTATTCTTAGCCTATCTCTCTACACAAGTTCTGGTAGAACATACGACAAACTCAGCTATACAACAGTCCGCTGTAGCCCAGAATATCTGAGTAATCTCAAAATTCTGTGGGTCACCTGTCACTCTTTGTTCATAGTTGCTAGATTCCCTCACTTTGAATCAGTTACACCTCTATGCACCTTCTGATTGGTCCAAAGTGTTGTACCTGCTGTAGTTCTAACTGTCTTTAACACATTATTCCCTTATCCTATGTCATAGTTACAGGTTATCCTAAATTTAAACAAATGACAAAGATGATGATAATAATGTTGCATCAGCGAGGTCACGTGACTAGTATCTAGACTAGTATCGTAAAGTTATATTCAGAAAGAATAAACCAGTTTTATTTAAGAAAGGACTTGTGTCGCTAAAGTTTCGTCATAACGAATTTACGGGAAATCAATTAACAAACGGAGACGCAACAATAATAATAACTCATTTTTGCCTCTATTCTGCTATCTTTATGAACCATGATTTTTTTACTTGGGTGGCCGACAGAACCCCTGTATAACCAAGGCCCAGGCCTAGTTGTCCTATGCATTAATCTGGTACTGGGAACAGGGAAGAGGAAATGTAGTAGAGGATGGTCCCTTTTGTTTTCGATTACTTTCTTAGTTAATATGTAAGTTCTTTATTTTCTTTCAGTTCATTTTGATGTGGAAAGCCATTTAAGTAAACATTGCCTCTTGCTAGCTATATCCTGAACCTTGCATGCTAACTGACAATTAACCAAGTTTCTTGCAGGGAAGATAGTTGGTGACATCCAGGAAAATAAAGTTGTCATTTCTGTTGGCAAATCAGGTAATGGCCTGGAGTTTACTTCGCCCCAGTACTCAAGCATGAGTAGATGTAGGTCACGTGCAGAATAGCATTTAGTGTGCAAACATGGTTGAAGTTGTTATTGTACTTTCTAGCAATAAAGCTAGGTTCGCCCATGTTAGTCAGATTTTAGCAGAGAATTTTATGAAACTTAACTATTAGGAGACTTCAGAGATTTTTCTAAGGTTGAGATTTTTTTTCTTTTAGGTTTGTTTGCTAAAATTTAGATTTAATCGACTTTTAGGTTAACTTTTAGTAACATTTCTGTCTTTATTTGGTTTTAACTTTTTAATTTTGAGCTAATTTTTACTTCATAACTTTTGTTAAGTATCTGCTTATTTGTTAATTTCTGGTAGAAATTCTTTCCGAGGAACTTTAGCGATACAAGTCTTTTTTTGATTAAACCAGTTTATTCTTTCTCGATACAAACTTTGTACACCGTAATTCCACAGTCAGTACGTTTCTCGTCCCTTTAAACTTAACTGCTTTTATAATACACGCTATAAATAAGAGCGATTCACAATCTCGATAACTTCGCTTTCTACGAGTGCAAAACACTAGCTCGAAACAGAATCGTAAATTACCCAGAACTGTCTTCATTCATCTTCACAGGCTTTTTCTGCCAGACTTATATAGTAATGAAGGGGACATCTCGAATACACTCGGCCCTCCCCGATCATTCATTATCATTCGAGAAGTTCATCACGTGTCACCAGCTTTACGTGACTTCCGCTGTCATAACGCTTTGTTTTAATTTAACGTATAAAGCTCACAAAGATTTCATTTATATTCTCACCCTCGCAAGTTCAACACACTTATTACAAACCCACTTGCCCCTATTTTATTTTGCTTTGTGTTAATAAAAATGACTGCGTTTTTGTAATGTAAACAAAGTTTTTCTTGTGCACCTTCCACTAATCGACTCTTTGTTCTCGACCAACTTATTTAGAGTTTAGAGAGACAAACAGACTTACACTCTGTCATTTGTATCCTTCCAACTTCCAGTTACCAAGCCTAACTGACTTCACTCCAGGAAAGCCGTGTAATGGGGAATACCACAACAGAATATCGTATTTTCAGGTGTGGAGAGTTATACCCGTGGACCGTAGTAGTCAAACCTACTATTTAGTTAAGAATAGCTATGAAGGCAGTAATTGTTTCTGACTTGTCGACCTCTCTCTCGCTCAGCAGTTCTTAACGAGGGCTGGTTAGGGCTGAAACTTGGGATTTCGGACTTGGCTGTTTATCCCATGTGTTGAAAATATCTATTAGCAAACACTCAAGTTTAATTTAAGTAGGCTGGTAAAATATATTTTGGCAACAAATTATATTTATTATGCTTGTTTCTTTGCTTATTATTAAGTACAAAGCTTCATGATGGGCTATCCATGCTCTACCCACTGCATGTATCGAAATCCGATTTTGAGCATTATAAGCCCCTGGACTTACTGTTGAGCCACTGTGAGGTATTTATTATGTTAATAAACCATAAAAAGTATATTGTTACGTCTCCGTTCGTTA